ATCTATAAATGGTCTATCTCTATATTAACCTTCAGAACTTGTCAGTTTTGTATTTCTAAAATTAATACTTCTGGCTATGTTTCACTTGTTTTGAGCATATCTCAGTCTATCTGCTGTCTGTAGGCATTTTGACATATTCTGACTTTTTTAGCATAAACATTCCTATTATAAATGTCTTTTTCTTATGTATTTAGTGCAGGGTCTACAGGGTCTCACTACACAGATCAGACTCGTAGTGATCCTCCTGTTTTCAGCCTCCCAAGCACTGGGATTATAGGCACGCACCACCATACCCAGTCTCAGTCGTCATCTCAGCATACTCTGCGGGTAAGGCCTGCACAACACACCAGGGATTGAACCCCAGTCCCTGCATCTGCCTAAGCAAGAGCTTTAAAATAAACATCTTTTACGTATCTCCTTCTGTACACATCACGAGTCTCTCTAGATATGGATATATAAAATGCATATACATCTATGCATGGAGCGGTAAGATATATTCAATATAGAAAATCAGCAAGATTTTCCAGTGCATTTCCTCTCATCTATGTAGCATATAAAAGAATTTCTGGACTCACATTTGCTATTATCAACTTTTGAAGGACTTAGTCTCTATTGGAGGTAACACGGTATTCTGCTATGATTTTAACAAACCTACTGTTTAAAAATAAAAGCTTTTCTCTATTTCCAGTTTTTCATCACCACTATGTCTCTCAAAATTCTTAATTACAAAATAGTGTATGTCTTATTTTGCACTAATTTTTCTAACTCTTTCATCATTTCATTCTAGACATGGCCAAGACTATCATATATAATTGCTATGATCAAAATGTTCATTTTTTCCCTGAGATCCCACATCCTTAAGCAGAATTCCAGTGGATGAGCCTATGCATTTACCATAAGATTTCCATTAATTGATTTTTTCGTACTCTAGAAACTTTATGTCACGACAAGTGATTTTCAAAACAGCTAAGAACTTCTAATGACTACTTAAGTTTTGAAAAGTTTTTTCTGAACTATAGCACTCTACAGGAACACAGTTGTACTAATGCACAGTGGTAAGGATGCAAGAGCGTGCAGATCTGGCCCACATGATCTATGCATTTTCAAAATTCGATCAGTTTCATTTCTAGACTTCTATGTTTCTTTCTCATTGGATATTAAGTTACTTACTTTAAATGCAAAGTCATGTTTAACTGTCTCAGATATTTGAAATGAAGGACTAATGCATGTTCTTTAAATTGGGAAGAGGAAAGAATGGGAGAGAAATCCTGCTGCACAACTACAGCCAGGAAGAGCAAGATGATGTGATGATGATTCATGATGTTTACTACTGCTGGCTAAGATATGTGGAATTTCCAGGAGGAAAACAAGAGTGAAGGGAATGGCAAAAGTTAGATAGGACAGTGCAGATGTAATCCTGACAACTTCTTTCCAGCCCCTCATTAACCTGAACAGTCCAGCCCAGTCCACCAAAGTGGCTCTAAAGGGTGGTGGCATGCATTATTCATGAGTGGCAACTTTTATTCTGATTACAGATATTTACAAGCTTCATTCATCATCAGGAGAGTTCACCGAAACTTTTATGCATTTCTGGTCACCACACTTTTGGTCATGGGAACCAAGACAGATAAGTGATATGTTTTCTAAATTGATGAGAGTTGTCTAAGTTTCCAACAAATCTTGCAGAGAATGCAGATTTTATTTTTTCTTTCTTTTGCATGTCTTTAGCTCTATTCCTCTTCCAACTAATGTGGTGTTCCTGTTACCAAAAAAATACTCATTGAAGCTGAAGAAATGGACTCTACCATCTTCCAAATTCTGAGTTATTGACTTACAGTATTCAATATGCATTACAATAAATATTTTTAATTTCTTAGCAATGTTGATCTTTAATGTTCTGGAGAGAAGACTTTTACAACTTTCTGCTATAAATACTGGCAGTTAATCATAGGAGAAAATTACATTAAAATAATTCCACAACAAAAGCACATATAGGATAATTGTTCATCAACCTTAATTGATGAACTCCTTCATGTCCAACTTATAAGCTTGAAGAAGTTATAAACTTCTTCATATACTGGTAAGGAAACCTTAGAACCTAACAACTATGATGTATGCATTATTTCTACTTTTAGACTTGATATAGAGTGCCTCCCCTGACTGAGCCAATGTGGATCATTTCAAAGAGAAATAAGTGCGAGTGAATAACAGACTTTTAATGCAAGCTTTGAGGAGAGTTTCCCATTAAGAAATTCTCAATTCCTTGACTAGCAATTAGGACACCTGGATTTCCTCTGACTGAGGGAAGAAAACAAGAAGAGATTGGAGGCTAAATACAGCGGCCTGTGGTGTTGCAGGGAGATGCTAAGATTTCTCACAAGATTTCTCCCACCCCACAGCGAGCAGGAAGCCTCCCCAGAACCCTCCACAAATCATTCTGGCATCCCATTCCCATAGGAAACACAATGCGTGGGCGGGGCCTTAGGGTGCCCAGCAAGTTCATTGCCCTAGTCATTCCTGCCAATGTTCTCCAGGGTGTTCTGGGATGCAACTCCCTTAAACGCCCAGAGGAAAGACAACCATAGACCACCCCACTGGCAACTTTCTTTCTTCTCTTGCACTAAGCAGGGTGTTTGACCTTCCGGAGAACTGTGTGTTCCTAGAGCTCAGGCGCCAGCTGTGTTCCAAACCCACGATAAATCAGGGCTGCTCCTCCCGGCAGAACTCAGGTCACGCTTCCTGTAGCGGCCTAGGGAAAGCTGTTGGCCGCAAGGATTGTGGTGGGGATTCCTGGAGCTTGGGGGATGAGGGCGGAGGAGAGGGGACTGGGGGAAGGCAGGGGAGGGAGCCGGCTGCAGAGGGCGGTGACAGCGCTCTAGGGACAGCTGGGCGGCTCGGCCTCGCAGACCGAAGTTGGGAGCCGCTGCAGCACAGGCCTCCAAGATGAGGCCGGCGCTTGCCCTGTGTCTTCTCTGCCAGGCGTTCTGGCCCCGGCCTGGCGGTGCCGAGCACCCCACGGCCGACCGCGCGGGTTGTCTGGTCTCCGGGGCCTGCTACAGCCTACACCACGCTACCATCAAACGGCCTGCAGCCGAGGAGGCCTGCAACCTGCGCGGCGGGGCGCTCAGCACAGTGCACGGTGGCGCCGAGTTGCGCGCGGTGCTCACACTGCTTCGGACAGGTCCCGGGCCGGGCGGGGGCCCCAAAGACTTGGTGTTCTGGGTGGCGCTGGAGCGGGGGCGTTCGCACTGCACCCTAGACAGCGAGCCCTTGCGGGGTTTCTCTTGGTTGATCCCAGACGCCAGTGCGTCCGAAGACGACACCCTGCCTTGGGTGGAGGAGCCTCAACTCTCCTGTACCGCGCGCAAGTGTGCGGGACTCCAGGCTACGAGGGGGATAGAACCCGCAGGCTGGAAGGAGATGCGTTGCCACCTGCGCGCCAACGGTTACCTGTGCAAGTACCAGTTTGAAAACTTGTGCCCCGCGCCGCCCCCGGGGGCTGCCTCTAACTTGAGCTACCGCGCTCCCTTCCAGCTGCACAGCTCCGCGCTGGACTTCAGTCCTCCGGGTACCAAGGTGAGTGCAACCTGCCTTGGGGAGCCCTCCATCGAAGCCACCTGCGTCGTGGAAGAGACCGGCGCGCGCTGGGACAAGCTCCCCTCCGGGGGTGTGCTCTGTCCCTGCCCCGGGAGATATCTCCTTGCCGGCAAATGCGCGGAGCTTTCTCATTGCCTGGACGGCTTGGGAGATTTTGCCTGCGAATGTGCTCCAGGCTTTGAGCTGGGAAAGGATAGACGCTCTTGTGTGACCAAAAGTGAAGGACAGCTGGTCCCCGAGGCAACCAAGGTGTCCACCCGGAGCCAGCCAGCCACTGCAGCCAGTCCAGTGCCAAAGAGAACATGGCCTCCCAGAGTCCATGAGGAGCCAGGAGAAAGACCACCCAATATCCCTGGAGAGGGCAGTTCTGCAACTTCTGTTCCTGAGACCAAATCAGTAGCCAGCCTCACTCCTCTGGGAAGTATGGTCCCCACATTTAACTCCACACCTACCTCCTCCGTGCTCCAGACTTTCGACTACTCTTCCACTGTGGTCTTCATATTTGTAAGCATAGCAGTGGTGGTGTTAGTGATCCTGACCATGACAGTCCTGGGGCTTTTCAAACTCTGCTTTCACAAGAGGCCTTCTTCTCAGCCAAGGAAAGGGCCTTTGGACCCTCGGGGCGTGGAGAATGAAGCTGAGCGCTCCAGCTCTGCACCTTGCACTGACAATGGGGTGAAGGCCAGGGACAGCGCTCTGCAGGGCAGAGCAGAGGATTCCTCCCTGGCAGGATCCCCTCCTTCTTCCTGGGTCACATAAGGAAACAGGACAGAGGCTCTCCTTGTGAACAGATGTTTTCCATTTCCATGACAAGGTAGAGGAAGAACTCCAGTGTGGAAAATCCTCTTTTCTAAATTCTCTCACTGGAAGAAGCTATATCTTTTTGTGTGTGTGCGTGCCGGGAATCGAACTCTCAACCTCTTGTTTGCCAGGTAGTTGCTGTGCTGCTGAGCTATATCCCAGCTCTAGGAGCTAAATCTTAACAGCACATTCATTCCCTGAAGATGAAAGAGGTGGAAATGCTTTAGGGTGGTACTGGAGGTAAGGGTGGTACTGGGAGAAGTACCACCTGGGGATTTCAGAGAACTGAATGAACATTGGAAGACTTTGGAGACAACTAGAAAACAACACAATTTTTTAAAGTTCATTTTTACCAAAAGGCAAAAAAAAAATCTGTATTTGTTATTCAGGTTGGGAATATATTAGTTTGGCATCCCCAAGGCAAAAAATAAAAAAGAAAAAGCTTTTGATAACACAGACTTACATACACTTGGCTTCCATAAGTGGTAGTTATTTAGGAAAAGAGCATGCTGGAAGTGACAAGTAGCTGTGGGGTGTGCTCGAACTTCCCACTGGTGCAGATTGCTCCTCGGTTGAGGGAGGCCCTTAAAACCTTGCGAGGAGGAAAGGAGCTCTCATATCTGGGAACTTCTCTCTTTGTTCTTTTGGCCTTTGCTTTCAAGGTTACTACTATGTTTGTGCTTTGCTATAAATCCAAAACGTAGTGTTGCCAGAGTTTCTGACTGTGGAAACAAATTATAGTTGACCACCAATTCAAGTATTTATTCTGTGTCCTTGTTCAAGGGAACCAATGATTTATGCCTTCCTTTCCGTTGTTTGTGCTCCCAGTGTAGTGACACCCCTCCCCCCAAAACCCAGCTTCTATCCATCAGGGTGCTGATCCTCACTTCCAATTATCACGGTGGTAATTCTCAATTAAGACATTAATGATAAGTATTGATTGGAAATCTTCTGGATGCATTAAAGAAAGTGTAAGGTGAGTTTCTTCAAGGTTGTTAGGTTCTTGCACTTTTTTTTTAAATCCATGAAAAGAAAACAGCTCAAATACCAACTCATTTCCTTTTCTTCCAAGTAAGAGAGTGTGCAGTGACAATACATGTTCATCTTGGAATGTTCACAATGTCACAAATGTTGACCACGGGTAACAGGTTTCTCTAAGAATTAATAATATAGGAAAGAAATGATAAATAAAATATCTGTCATCTGGTTATGATTTGGGTACTAGGAAGAAATCAAAGAGAACTTTTTGGGAAAAATAATGAAGGCATGTTAAAAATCATTATCTACTGGTCTCAAGGTGCATAAGTACCTCACATTCATTAGTATTGCTACAGATTTTGAGTATTAGAGATTGGTGCATGGAGAAAAATAAGCCAGAAAGAGGGAAGAACAAAAAGAGGAAAAGGTGTATGTTTCATTTTCATAAAATTGCTTTGATGTTCCCATGTACAGTGTATACAATGGAGAATGGAATTAAGCCTTAATAGATGACCAGCAGTTAAATAATCTAAAACACTGTAATAGCTCAATCTATAAATTCATATTCTAACTATAAATCTGTACATTTAGTATTATAATGTTAAATGAATAAGTAGGGATTTCCTGCATATAAGAAATATGTTTCTGAACAGTTACATTTAAATAAAATCATAAATGCTTTAGAATTAAAATTCAAAGGAACATCATGTCTCATAATTTCACAAATGGAACTAATAATCAGATAAAGAAGTGGCTTGCCCAATACCTCTAACCGGTCAGATGCCTCGGTGGTAGTGGGACAATTTTCCTCATCACTCATGAGATTTTAGTAAAGAACATAATTATTTGGATAGAATATATGGTGATTTCTTCTAAAACTTGAAAGCAGTTATCTATAACTGAAATGTAGTGTATGTGTGCGGGTATACCTATATGCACACATATGTACACATAAGATGTATGCCTGCCTATACACCTTACAGTAGGGTGCCACTGTATCATTGTTTCAGTAAATACATGTGTTACTAACTTGTGCTAGGTGCAGCAGATGGCGTGATGAATCTTGGGCTCTAAATGCCTGTTGGGAATAAATAGGTGCCAGCACAATTACTTGGCTAGTGTTCCCTCTTGTGTCGCTCTGCAAGTAGACCAGAAGAAAATTACAGAAAATTATTTCTTTGTATCATTGATTTCTTGACAGCAATTTCAGGCCAACCTGCTCATAACTTCTTTGATTTCTTCACTATGAAGTCATCCCTAAAATGTTGGCTTCGTGGCAGAACCAGGCAAGCCAAGCACGATCTCTTCAGAGTTTATTTAAAATTTGGAGCCAGGGTTCCTTCCTTCTACTACCTCTCTGTTGTCACTTCTTTAATGTTTCTCTGTCCCTCTAAGGCTCACTTCTTGTATAGAACCTTCTGCCTCTGCACTCACCTCACAGCTTCCTCTCCAGGCTTCCTCACAGTGACGCCATGGAACCTAATTTATGGGCTTCTCTCCTAAAGCCTGCATCATTTTACAGATCCTCAGATCCTCTTGCCTGCCTCCCCTGATGCCTCTGCATGTCAGTTCCTTGCTGTCCTCATCTCCAGTGACATCCTGCATCCCAGCTAACCATTCACTCCATAGCCACACAGATTTAGATGATCTGGAAACAACTCCTCATCTGAAGCAACAAATTCAGACATTTGTGTGCATGTAGAAGTATTTTGAGAGGCTTGCGCTTATGTGAATTTTACTCTTATTGGAGGCGAATCATTATTGTTTGAACTTGACCTTTCTTCTTTCTGTTGTTTCTTTCAACAAGTCTATCTGTAAATATAAACCTGATATATCATGCTTTTTTCTGTCTTTTGAAAGCAATTCACATTTTAGAAGTTACAATTACTGTTTAAAACACAGCCTTTCCCCCCAAATCATTTAAGAGGAAGTTGACAAATTAATACTCTATCACCCTTGAATACTTAGTATTTCTAGTTTACCTAGTTGGCATAGAATTATCCATATTGCTCACATTTATTTTGGATTTTGGTAAGTCAAGTAGTTTTATTTTGAGTTTTAGTGTAGAAATATCAGTCAGTGTAATAGTCTGTTTGTTTTGTTGATGTATTCTTTCCTGTAATATTCATGGGTCAGCTGGGCATAGTGACACACACCTACAGTCTCAGACCTTTAGGAGGCTGACACAGAAGGATGGTGCAGAGTTCAAGCCATCCTTGGGCTACATAGTGAGTTCAAGGTCAATGTGCATCACCAATGAGACCCTGTCTCAAAACAATATGAACCATTTATTAGCAACATTAAGTATGTTTAGTATATGTTATAATCCTCCCCATTTCAATTGTATAATCTTATTTTAGTAAATTGACTTTGAGAACATTTTCATCACCCAAATAAGATGTTTCATTCAGTCATTTGTTTTTGCTTCTCTTTTGTGAAGTTCCCTTGAATGTCAGTTTCTTTCTTTTAGAATTTTAAAAATTATTAACACATAGTGATTGTAAAAATTAATGTGATTCACCATGACAGTTTCAAGCACACATATATTGTGCATTACTTCAGTATATATATACATATATATATATATATGTATATATATATATATTCACTTAAGGCAATTTGGCTTCTCAGCTACTGTGATTCGGGGTTTACTAAACATGATCATGTATGTATCTCTTTTGTGTGTTGGCATTTCCTTTAGATTTACACCCAGAAATAGAATAATCGGATCATATTTGTACTTTTAGGTTTCTGAGAAACCCTCTCTCTTTGCCCTAGTGGCTATAGTAATTTATCTTCCCACTAACAGTGTATAAGGGCTCTTTTTTCTCCATATCCTTCCCAGCACTTTATGCTCTTACTCTTCCCTTCCCTTCCTTTTCCTCCCCTGCTTCCTCCTGTTCTTTTCCTCTCCTCATTTTTCTCCTCTTTTTAAAAAAATTTTCTCTCATTAATTAATGAATCAATTAAATAATGTCCATTTTGGCTGGTGACATGGAATCTCATGGTAGCTTTGATTTGTAATGGTAGATAAAAAATGTGGTCTAACGATATTGAGCCAATGTATTTATTGGGCACTGGCTTTCATCTTTTAAAAAGTATGTATTGAGATTACTTGCACCTTTTGGGGAATTATATGATTTTTGGTTGTTGAAAATTTTTAGTTCTTTGTATATTCTGGATATTGCTTTCTTGGTAAACGCATATCCCTTCTCTCTTGATTGTTTCCTTGGCTTTGCAGAAGATTTTTAGTTTGATGGGATCACATTTGTACTTTTTACTTTTGTTTCCTTTGTACATTTTAGAGTCGTACCCAGAAATTCATTGCTTATGCCAATACACTGAAGAGTTTCTTCTGTATTTCGCCCTGGAAGTTTCAGATCTTACATCAAGGTCTTTGACAGTCTTTGAACTGACTTTAGTACAGGGTGAGAGAAAGGCATCACATTTTAATCTTCTGCATGTGATATCCAGTTTTCATGGCACTATTTGTTCAAAAGAAGTCCTTTAATCTAATGCATGTTTTTCATATGCTTGTTTAGAATCAGTTGCTTAAATGTATGGATTTACATTTGAATGCTCTATCTCATTCTGCTGACTTGTATCTGTTTCACTGCCAATACTACGGTTTTTTATCATCATGACTCTGAAGTATACCTTGAAGGCAGATATTGCGCCACCTATCGGTTTGCTGTTTTTGCTCAAGATTTCTTTTGACTATTCAGTTTTTTTTTTTTTTTTTGTGAACAGTTTTTTGACTCAGGACCCTGTGCTTGCCAGGGAAGCGCTTATTCCACTGAGCCATCTCCCCGGCCCCTCAGGGTCTTTTTGGCTTCTTTATGAATTTTAAAATTTTCTGAAAAATGATATTGTTCTTTTGATAGAGAGTACATTTAATTTATAGATTTCTTTGGGTAGTACAAACATTTTAACAGTATTAATTCCTCCAATCTATAAATGTCAGAAATCTTTCCTCCTTTTACTGTCTTGTTCAGTTTCTTTCTTCATGTTTTATTATTTTCATAGTCTTTCACTCTTTATTACCAGAATATCTTTGTGGCTATTGTAATTGGCATGGTTTTCATTTCTTTCTCAACAAATTCATTATTGGTATATATAAAATCTACTGTATTTCATACATATATTTTGCATCCACTTTACCAAATTCATTTATCTAGTCTTTTAGTGTGGTCTTTAAGTTTTTCTGTCTATAGATTCATATCGTATGCAAGCAAAAACAATTTGAGTTCCTCCTTTTTTTTTATTTATTTGGTACAAGGTCTCACTATACAGCTCAGACTCGTAGTAATCCTCCTGCTTTCAGCCTCCCAAGTGCTGGGATTATAGGCGTGTGCCACCACACCCAGTCTTGGTGGCCAACTCAGTGCACCCA